ACTACTACTACTACTACTACTACTACTACTACTACTACTACTACTACTACTACTACTACAGAATTTTTATGCACGGTGTTTAGTATCCTTGCTCTGTTACCGTATCCGCATCTCCCTCGAACGTATTTCACTTTAAGTGGAGATACGAAACGGTACGCTTTCGCTTTGTGTGGTATCACCTCGTGATTTTTTTCAGAGCTTGTCAGTACAAAATAATATACCGTTGGTTTTATATTTGAGATTTTTTTACTCACAGGCGTATCGCATATGAGACAGAAATACTGATGTTGTACGATATGTTTCCAATGCGTTGGGACATGGGCACACCATTTAAACCTTTTCCAATCAATATGTATGATGTATTTCTTAACCAAGCTTTGCAACATCAACAATGGTAGAAAATAAAAATGCTTTTCAATATTCGATGACCGATATTTTTCATCTGACTCGATGAAGTGGTATGACTAAAATATGTGTATCTAGGCTAAAGGATTACGGGTCTTGGCTAAAGCATTGCGGTTGCTGGCTAAATGATTGTCGGTCAAGGTTAAAGAAATGCGGGTTTTGGCTACAACTTGATGGGAAAAGGTGTAGATCCGGCTAGTTCAGACACAAATCATACCTATTCGTTTGCAATATTCATAAGAGAGGATTTCGCTGTGGATAACTGCATGTGGAATATGGGGCGGGGGGGGGGACACAGAATGTTCAGTTTTCTCTTCAACTGAGTTTGGGAAATTTCTTGTCATTTCGAGTTTCCCTTTTCAGATTACTGCCAGGGTGTTTGAAAGTTCGCCTTGAATTAATGATTCAACCTATTGTGAACACTAACTATCTCATTGTACAGAACATCAAGACGGACATCAATAGCGGCATCCAGAAGCTTCTTGCAAACTACACGGGCATACTGGAATCCCAGGACGTTCGCTGAGACTCCGCATGGCTGTTACCGGCAATCAGAGCATTGAGTAGTTAGTTGACCTTGTATCTGGATCACTGAAGTTACAAGGTACAGGCCGGATGTGCAATTTCATTGGAATTGCAACTTGATTAGGCCCTCGCGATAACTCATTAAACTGTGCTTGTTAAGCGGCTTTTGGACAGAAGGACCAGTACAATCAGGATTATTTGAGTATGATTCAAGAGCATTAAAGGCAAAAAAGGCGAGTGTGTAGCTTTTTGTTCATTTTCCAGTAATTTTACGTTTTAAGACGACTTGAGCTGATATTCAGCTAGTTGCTCAAGGATATAAAGCTTTTCACTTCCAGGTCTATTGGTTCTTCACCAATATAGAGGACAGATCGTCTAAAGAGGGAAAACCCATTAGTGTCCCGTAAGGACTAGACGTGGCGGATCGAGCCAAGGTCAGGTAGGACTTCATTGAATTGCCACCCGAACGCTGAGAGGTAATCCTTTTCATTGGAACTCTCTGGGTTTAGTAAAGGTACTCTCGTTGTATATACATAGTTCCCTATCAGTCACTCTTCAAGTGACCTCCACGGTCTAGTTCTTGTGGAATTAGCAATGATATGTTCAGCGAATCCTGGAGGAGGAGGAGGAGGAGGAGGGCGGAAACGATTTTTTGCGTCTCTCTGAGGTCGGGTGCAAGCTGAAACAGATACCACCGTATTGTAGTTCGTTGACGTAATGTTGGAAACGAGTAAGTGTGGCCCATCTGCTCAACATAACGTGTCTGAGTACACGAAACAGTTTTCGCTCTGAATTCTCACATGTCATCCACCATTCCAACTTGGGTTAATCGGAATATCACGGCAAATGTCACAATCTCATCAGTCCTCACATTCTAGAGGGCATTTCAATCTTCATGAATGCAGGGCTTCAACATTGGCCACAATGTTCAGTGGAGTAGAAATCCGCAGTTGTGTGCCCGGTATTGGGGGCAGGAGATCACTGAGATTTTGACAACTGTCACTATCCCCTGTGTGACTGGTATGTTGATGAAATAAATCACAGGCATTTGGCCAAGGGAAAACAAATTTGCTGTCCAGTAAACCGCTAGGATCAAAACAACGTGGACTTGGCCGGAAAGTGATCGTATTGGTCTAATCTGTTACTTTTTCACGGGCGATGGGCGTCTGCCAACGTCACTGATCACACTCACTGTACGTAAGTTCTCTTCATTGAACTGAGTAAAGCTCTTGACAAGGTATCATATAGATGATATTTGGAAGGATCACAGACCCTGGGGGTTCGGAAATTCTGTCCTGCTCTGGATTGAGGAGTTCCTTGTTCTACGGACTTTTGTTGCAAATGTTGCTCAATTGTAGTCTCTTTGTTGTCTGGTCGGGGTTCAGAACAAGGTCCATTACTGTTTCTTATTTACGCGTGTCACCTCTGTTCACGGTCACCATCAAGCTGTTTGATCTACGCGGTTGAGCAAAAGTTGTGCCAGTCACGGGAACTCCGGAGAACCAACGCACACAAAAAATTGCACTTAGACAGGCTGCTTCATTGGAACATTGCATGAACCCTGTGCACGGTCCATGTGCATGCGATTGGGGTGATGGATTACGGACGCTGCTTACAAGATGCACAACATTTGGGTGGTGGTGGCGCAGTGGTTTAGTCCCTGTCACCGATGAGCTTTGGAACCTGTGGTTCGATGTTCGAGCCCCGCCACCGCCACCCAATTTTGGAGGTAGGCAGCTCTGCTGTCGTCCGGTTCAATACCACGCCTGACCTATCGGGGCCTTATGTGGCTTAGGTTACCGGTTATCATCTCTGGACAACAGGTCTTCGTGAC